GGGTCACTGGACCTCTCTGCACCATCCAGCTCAGTTGTCTGGTGCCTCCCCCGGGACTCATCTTTCTGGCTTCTGTGGCATGGCACTCACCTGAATCCCTACCTTCTCACTGGCTGGTACTTTTCATTTTGCTTCCAGATCCCTCTTCTTTGACTTCTGTATGTTTTACACCTGAAGGCTCAGTCTTGGACCCTCTTACTGTCTTTCTTAGAGGATCTCCAAGTCTCCTGGCTTACTCTGCATACCCTCTGTGCATGCTGATGACTCCCAAATTTACTACCTTTAGCCAAAAACTAACCATTGAGCTCAAGCCACAGACATCTAACTACTTATACTTAATGTTTAACAGATACCTCAGGCTTAATGTGCTCAAAACCAAATTCTTAATAATCTCCTCCATTACCCAATTTATTATTTTGTCTTTGTTAATGGTGCTACCATCATCCAGAATTTTCCTTTGCAATCTATAATTTTCTGTATCTCCACTACCACCATCCTCATCTAGGCCACAGCCATCCCTAAATTGAATTACCACAAATAACTTTTCCCTGGTTGCCTCATTTTCCATCTTTTTCTACACAATAGCCTGTCATCATCTTGAAATATAAACCTGATCATGGCATGATTTAATGGCTTTTCATGACACACATTTTTAAATGAAATCCAAACTCCTTACTATGACCTCAGAGGGACTTTCTTCATCAGACCCTTTCTTGTACCAGTGTCCCCCTTGCTCACTATGCTCCAGCCACAGTGGCCTATTTTCAGTCTCTCAAGCATGTCAAACTCTTTCTTGGGTTATACTTCATACGTCCTGCTGCTTTCACCTGGAGTTTTCTGCCTATCCTGTGCATGGCTGGCTCCTTCTCAGTCTTAACCATCATTTCCTTAGAGAGGCCTTCATTGCCTATGCTGAGGAGGTTTGTGCACCCCATCTCTCATGGCCTTTATCACTACTCTGTGTTATTTCTGAGCATTGGCCCCAACCTGTGTTTACTTTTTTACTCTGTAACCCACACTTGATTGTAAACTCCAGAAGGCAGAGACTATATTTGTTTTATTCACCAACCAGTCTACAGCATGTAGTAAAGTCCCCTATAGGATAGTTTTTTTGTTTTTGTTTTTTTGAGAGTGAAATAAAATGTGAATGACTTAAATTCTGAGCTAAAACATCTCTTAATGTAAAGGGTTTATTTTTTATGTAACTTTCTTTATTCTGAATTTATGGACTGTAGTTGGTTAGGTGACTTAGGAGCAGTAACTTACTGATTCAGTCAACAAATGTTGATTCAGCATACTGCTAAAGTACAGAGATAAAGGATAAAGAAATGATAAACAGTTTTGTGTTCTAACAGCTCATAGTCAAATAGGGCTAACAGGCAATAATTGCAGTACAGTGCAGTAGGTGCTACAATAAAGATTTCAATAGGTTCATCAGGAATGCCAAATACAAAATGGGTCTATTATGGGATGGCTGTGAAGGACTATGGCAAGAGCCACATTTGCTGGGCAAGTCAGTGGGAGTGGTGGTAGGGCATTCATACTAAGGTGTTCAGTATTGCATTAGCAGAGAGATGTTGAAACAGAATTGTTTCCCTTGGTTCCCAAATCTATTAGATTCCTGGGTTTCTGATAGCAGATATTAAGAAGAAAGATAGCAAGGGATAGCCCAAAAAACTTCAAGTGTACAGTTGCCAAACTTGACTAGGGAGAATTTGGGTGTGGCTGTGTTAAGGGTCTGAGATTAAAGATATGGTAGGGCAGACCCAGATACAGAAGAGCACTCTGTGCCATGCTAAAGGGATGGCATATTTGAGAGCCACTGAAAGGTTTTAAACTACCTACCAACATGATTAGTGTTTCAGAAAAAAATCACTTTGGTGACAATAAGAGGAGCAGTTTGAATGATGTAGGACTGGAGGCAGAGACATGACTTTTGAGGCTAAAGAGTTGCTAGGTGAAAAATAATGGAGTGATGAAAGACAAAACTGGCACATTGGGAGGATGGAGCAGATTCAAGAGATTTTAAGAGTAACTGGTGGGAAGAGGGAACACAATTTCCTGATTTCTGCTGATTTGAAGAACTGGGTGGATGGAGATGTTCACTGTGCTGAGATGATAAGGAACATGCTTTAACAGGAAAGATGATCTCTTGAAATTATTGTTTGAGGCAATAGTAGAATACATGTCCTGAAGTATGGTAAGTATTAAAGATCTGATTCTAAAACCCAGGAGTAAGTGCTTGGTTAAAGAGATTGGAGTCATTATAATGTACTTGGCAATTAACATCTTAACCTGTTAAGAACCCGAAAAGGGCATGAAAAAGATAAGACAACCAAGGCTAGAATCCTGGGAAACATAAATATTTAAGGGGATATTAGTGTAAGAAAAGTCTCTGGAAAATATGACTAAGGGGGAAAAAAAGAGATAGGAAGATAACAAGGCTGAATTTTCAAAGAGAAAGAAATAATCAAAGGTGTCAGCATACTAATAAAGGGGAAGTAATAGTTCAACCTTCTGAAGTCAGTTTTCTTGATTACAGATTATACTTCCAACACTAGGTAATTGTTTTGAAAATATTTGATCTTAGTCAAAGGAAGGAAAGGGATGAAATTATGTGGTTGGATCAATACAAATCAATCCCCATATCTGAAATTCAAGTTTTCCAGTATATATGAGGCAGTATATTTTCATACAAACTAACACACTGTCTTTCTGTATTATACTATACAGTGATGCTATTATACTATTCAGTGAAATTGTTGTTGTTGTTGTTGTTAAGTGCCGTCGAGTCGTTTCCAACTCATAGCGACCCCATGCACAGCAGAACGAAACACTGCCCAATCCCGCGCCAGCCCCAGAATCCCTGCTATGCTTGATCCCATCATCGCAGCCACCGTATCAGTCCATCTCGTTGAAGGCCTCCCCCTCTTTCGTCGACCCTCCACCCTACCAAGCATGACATCCTTTTCCAGGGAATGGTCCCTTCTTACAACATGACCAAAATAGGTGAGACGAAGTCTGGCCATTCTTGCTTCCAAGGAGCATTCTGGCTGCACTTCCTCCAGGACAGATCTGTTAGTTTTTTTAGCAGTCCATGGTACTTTCAGCATTCTCCGCCAGCACCACAACTCAAAAGCATCAACTCTTCTTCGGTCTTCCTTATTCATTGCCCAGCTCTCACATGCATACCAGGCGATTGGAAATATCATGGCTTGTGTCAGGCGCACCTTAGTCCTCAAGGAGATATCCTTGCTCCTCAGCACTTGAAACAGTTCCTTCGCAGTTGACTTTCCCAATGCTACACGTCGTCTAATGTCCTGACTGCTGCTTCCGTTGGCATCGATTGTAGAACCAAGCAACGTGAATTCTTTGACAACCTCAATCTTCTCTCCATTTATTGTGATGCTGCTCATTGGTCCAGTTGTGAAGATTTTTGTTTTCTTTATGTTGAGATGTAATCCATACTGCAGACTGTATTCTTCACCCTTCATCAGTAGGTGCCTTAAGTCATCCTCACTTTCAGCAAGCAAAGTTGTATCATCTGCATATCTCAGGTTGTTAATGATTCTTCCTCCAATCCTGATACCATGTTCTTCTTCATATAGTCCAGCTTCTCGGATTATTTGCTCAGCATATAGATTGAATAAGTGTGGAGACAGAATACAACCCTGATGCACTCCCTTCTTGATTTTAAACCATGTAGTTGTCCCCTTGTTCTGTTCGAACGACAGCCTCCTGGTCAAGGTACAGATTCCTCATGAGTACAATCAAGTGCTCGGGGATTCCCATTCTTCTCAATGTTGTCCATAATTTGTCATGATCCACACAATCAAATGCCTTTGCATAGTCAATAAAACACAAGTAAACATCTTTCTGGTATTCCCTGCCTTGAGCCAAGATCCATCTGACAACAGCTATGATATCCCTTGTTCCACGTCCTCTTCTGAATCCGGCTTGAACCTCTGGAAGTTCTCTGTCAATATACTGCTGCAAACGTTTCTGAATTATCTTCAGTAAGATCTTACTTGCATGTGATATTAATGATATTGTTCTATAATTTCTACATTCTGTGGGATCACCTTTCTTTGGAATGGGCACAAATATGGATCTCTTCCAGTCAGTTGGCCAGGTAGCTGTCCTCCAAATCTCTTGGCATAACTGAGTGAGTGCCTCCAATGGGGCATCTGTTTGTTGAAATATCTCAATTGGTATGCCATCAATTATAAAGTACTATATTTGATACATTGAGCATACTGATGGTTACATGTTCATTTAAAGGGAGGCATACTTTTAATATACTGTCAGTAGTCCAGACATTACGGTTTGAGGGATATATTATCTAGAGAAGGTGGCAAGGATTCTTGGTATAGTCTCATTCAGTATCTGGTCATTAGCTTTGATTAGGCTATGGGGGGGGGGGAACCACTCATGTTAACCAAATTCATAAGACACTGTTTATTAAAAAACAGAATGATTAATTTTTTTAAAAAATCACAATGAAACATGTAACTAAACAAGCAAGCTGTTCCTGCTTGTTGGTCTCTCTTTTTGGAAAGGCATACCACCAGAGCTTCCATAAGGGAAGTCATGCTAGACTTGAAATATAAGCAGAAGGTCGTTTGGTGAATGTGGGATCTGAGGAAGGTGAATAAGATGGATGATCTTATTTTGATGGTGGGAGGAAGAAAAATTGCATACTCTATTCAGAGTCCTAGTCTGGGTATTATAAATAAAGTTGATCCATCAATGAGAGCCTGTGTTGAGTACGCACTGTGTAGGGTACAGAGATGAGTTAGTCTCTCTGCTCAAAAGAACCTAACCACTTAGTTGAGGACTAGTGTATTACCCAAGCCTAATGACAAAGAATTGACAAGTTTTCTCCCCTCCTCTAAGATTACTGGTATTAGGGATTTGTAATGCCTTGTGTTAGTACGTATTAATGTAGTAACATTATATTTCAACTGGTTTTTGAAATGCTTTTTTCTTTGAACCTGCAGGTTCTCCTGAAAAGAAAGTTGGACACTCATCCAGGAATCACGAAAGCAGCACTACAAACTCTATCAAAAATGGAAAAGCCAGCCCAGTATCTAAAGATAACCGGACTGAAAAGAAAATTTCAGAGGATTCAGTACAAGGTCAAGTGCAAAAGGGGAATGATGAATCTGAAAGTGATTTCGAATCAGATCCCCCTTCTCCTAAGAGCAGTGAAGAGGAAGAGCAAGAGGATGAAGAAGTTCTTCAGGGAGAACAAGGAGATTTTAATGATGATGATACTGAACCTGAAAATCTGGGTCATAGGCCTCTCCTCATGGATTCTGAAGATGATGAAGAAGAAAAACATAGTTCTGATTCTGATTATGAGCAGGCCAAAGCAAAGTACAGGGGTGTGAGCCCTATCTATAGAGACAAAGCTGGCAATGGACAAATCCAAGATTCCAGTGTAACAATCCTCACGCCAACCCAATTACCCTCTGATGCTGGGGTGGAGACTCCCAAACAGGAGTTTGATGTCTTTGGCGCTGTCCCCTTCTTTGCCATGCGTGCTCAACAGCCTCAACAAGGAGAGAATGAAAAGCACCTCTTTCAGCAGACCCATTTTCCTGCTGTGGGACTTGATCAAGAAGAATTTGATGTATTCACAAAGGCACCCTTCAGCAAGAAGGTGAATGTAGAAGAGTGCCACACAGTGGGGCTTGAAGTACATAATCTCCCTGCTTGTCCCGAAAGTGTAGATGTATTTGGCTCCACTCCATTTCAGCCCTTTCCCACATCAGTAAGTAAAAGTGAAAGCAATGAGGATGTTTTTGGGCTTGTGCCCTTTGAAGAAATAACTGGAGGTCAGCAGCAAAAAGTCAAACAACGCAGCTTACAGAAACTGTCCTCTCGCCAAAGGCGCACAAAGCAGGACATGTCAAAAAGTAATGGGAAGCGGCATCATGGCACACCAACCAACACAAAGAAGACTTTGAAACCTACCTTCCGAACCCCAGAGAGAGCTCGTAGGCACAAAAAAGTAGGCCGTCGCGACTCTCAAAGCAGCAATGAATTTTTAACAATCTCAGACTCCAAGGAGAATATCAGCGTTACACTGACTGATGGAAAAGACAGAGGGAATATCCTGCAAGCTGAAGAGAGCCTCTTGGACCCCTTTGGTGCCAAGCCCTTCCATCCCCCGGACCTGACACGCCACCCTTCACATCCGGGTCTGAGTGACATCTGTGCCGACCACAATACCGTACTGCCTGTGCGACCAAGGCAGAATTCACTGCATGGGTCATTCCATAGTGCAGAAGCATTGAAAATAGATGATTTTGGTGCCGTGCCCTTTACAGAACTTGTGGTGCATAGCATCACTTCACATCAGTCCCAACAGTCCCAATCAGTCGAATTAGACCCATTTGGTGCTGCTCCATTTCCTTCTAAACAGTAGATACTTCTGGTGGATCCTTGACATTAACTCCTGTTTCAAAAAAGTATGAATAGTTCATTTTATGAATTTGAAAACTATTTGTATAGCTCTTTATATCATTCATTCTTACAGATCAATCAGAATAGGTAAATAATTTTTAAATAAACCAAATAGTAAAAGGAAGAATTTCCACAGGGTAGTAACTTGATGCCTCTTAAAATGACTTCTTCCAAGCAGGAGAAAAGGGAGCTAAATTTCAAGCTCTAATCAAGGGTTTCAGCTACTGACATGACAGCACAGAAACATAAGTGTGATATTTCAGTGAAAGCATGTGAAACCTCAGTTATGTAACCACTTCACAAGGGATTGCAAAGTCGTACTATTTTTGATAACAGAATGTCATTTTTGTGTGCATGTCCTAGACTCATTCCAGAATCCAGCATTTAAAGCTAGAGTTATTTTGTACATACACAGGTTGAGTGTGTGAGTCTTTTAAAAAGTCTTCTAATTTCCACCCAGTAAAAAAAAAAAAATCTAGTTCTCATCTGGGGAGTTCAGAGATTTTAGTCCTTACACCTTTCTTTAACAAGCAGAGCCAGAGTAACTGACTATTGTGCCTAAAATTTCTTAAAAAAAAAAAAAAAAAAAAAAAGTGCCATTAATATGGAATATTTACATAGAAGCCTTGAACAAAAGATAAAAGAGAAATACTGATGTTGAGGAAAAAAGGGAAATAGAACAGAGAGAGAAAACACAAACTTCTGTTTGGGAATGGCTTGCTTGCCCAAAACATTTTTTATCATGTCCATAATAAAGCAGATTTTGAAAAGCTGGAGTGAGGACAAGAGTTACATAGAAATTTTATTTCAGGAAATAATATGTAGCTGAACTCTTGAGTTTTTAAGAAGTTTACAGTGTAAATCATGTTGCATTTAATAATGTACTTTATTAAATTACCACCTTCACCAAATGTTCCCTAAGTTGTGAATAACAATTATTTTAGTTAGGTTTGGAGAGTGGAATACTTTTAATGAAATGCACTGAACAGTGAAACCCATAAAGCCTTATAGGCAGGATTTGCATATCCTGCTGTAAGAACCTCTGCAGTATGCACCAGATCTCAAGATGGATATAAAGTAGTAGTGGTGAGGGACTAGCATCTCAACTCTGCTAGTGATGTGTCTTTAGTGAAAATAACCAAGTTACCAAATTGCCTTTCTTTACAACCACAAATCTTAAATCAATACTTGAGATTTTCTAGAAATTATATATGTCAATGAACATGAATACAGTATCTGTGCTTCCTCTGTCTCTCCAGTTATTTTAAGTTCTAATTAACTGTCTTTCCCTATCAAATTAACATTTAGAAATTTCTAGAGCTGTTAAGTTTATTTACTTAAAGGGACACAAACTCTTGGCAACTGACACTTTTCTTGATTGCAACGTTTTAAATTAATTCTCTTTGAACCCAATTAGTGTATTTTATGAGTAATCTTTTTAGAATCCCTTAATTAGAGTACCCCAATGAAATAAACTATTTGCCTATTTTCACACTTCTGAACTTGGAGAAAAGCAAAATATATGCAACTAAACAATATATTCAGATTTTACCTAAATCAGATATGAATTTGTGGCTAGGGAAGTGGTATGTGAATCAGTGTAGCTGAAGCGAAGCAAGCATTACGTTACTTAGAATGGTACTTGTTGAGTTAGACTACAGGAGACTGTTGTGCTCAGCTAGATCTTTTTCAATTACTTGTCCTTCTGCCAAAGGCAAATAATGTATTTGCACCTTTTCTTCCTGATTCTCAGGTTAATTAATACTGCTAATGCAAAAGCTCAAGTAGATGTTCTTTAACACCTTACCAAGTAGATTTAAGATACTGTCTTTTTAAAAAGTAAAGAGTTGATGATTCCATGAACTACAGTAGGTTTGTATCAAACAGAGTAATTTTTTTAAATGAAAATTTGTTGTTGACATGTATACAATATGCTTCTTTGATTCTGTAGTCCTTGGCCTTGGTCTCTGGAAAGGGTAAGGAATGAACTAGTGTGGCCTCCTTGGAACATCACCATGAAATACCTAGAGTCTATCTGGTATTAACAACTTGCTTACACTTGCTTTTCAATACATTAAATCATTTTAAATTGATGTATGATAAGTCCCTGGGTTACAAATGTCCGACTAATGGACAACCTGTACTTGCATCCTCACTTTGAAACGACTGAACTACCCCTGCTTGCAACAAATTACTCATTACAATCACCTTCGCCTACTGGATATGCAGCTTCTAAATCACTGTAAAGGCTTCAAGCCTTCTCTTCCACTAAAGTAAGCCTAAAGAACAGTATGTACCAGTTCCAACTTACCAACAAATTCAGCTTAGACACACTTAAATCTTATTTACCAACAAATTCATCTTAGACACACTTAAATCTTACTCTTAGTTTGAGAAATGCCTGAAGACACTTTGCCTTCTGAATTATGAGGACACAATCTGACTTAGTTTAAAATATTTATATTCTTATGTTTATTGTCGTATGGACCAGTAACTTTCCTCTTTGAGGTGGTAGTTCGGAGGAAAGTTTAGGACTCAGAATAAGTTTGGGGAGATTCCTTTGTTTTAAAGTAGAGGCATTTTCCCAAGGAGTTTTAGGGTTGCTTTCCATTTTCAGTCATCTGCCTTGGCCAAAGGGTCAGTTTCTTCACACAGCAGATGACCAAGGCATATAAAGATACTTAGCAGAGTGCCTGCTACACAGTTGACACTACTAGGTTAATGCTGTTATGGGATGGTCCAACACTGGATTAAAAAAAGGAAGGTTGAAAAAAAAAATTATGTTCATATTATTTGGATGGGCTCTGTGCTGCTTGAAGATGTCAAGTCATCACAACTCTAAACCTATTATACTTGAACATTACTAAAGGAGGCAAATACGAAGCTAGCAAAAATCTGTGGCCAAAGTTATTTCTTTCCTAACAGCTTTAATAATAATGCTTATTGATTTTGAATAATCTTTTTAAAAAAGTGGACCATTTGCTTAATTATCACTTGAATAAAATATTAGTATTAAAAAGATCAGCTTTCATGGCATGGAAGAATGTATTTGCTGAGACAAAAAAATTGCTTGGTATATATATGTATTGAGGATGAAAGGTTGTAGGCTGGATGAAAACCTCCCCTGTGTGTATGATTTAGGCATGATTATGATGATACCAGAATTGCCAATAGATGCACCTATTGATCCTACCTGGTGTACTGTTTAACAGTGATAGATGGTGGTTCTCATCTTGCTGGTGAAAAACGCTAAGGTGAAGCCCACTCTTCTACGCTGATAGTTGTAGAGAGCCATTTTCTTACTATTCAGCTAGTGTTGTTATTTTAAGTTTTGGTACTTCACATAAACACCATTAGAAGGTACACATGTATTAATATCACTTTCTGGGGAGAATGGGTACGTTTGTTATATGTAGAATCTGCAGTGAACTTTTTTGTATGTTTTTATTTTTCTTTTTAGCAAAAATACTCATTTTAATCCAATTATTGAGATTGACAGATCTACTGTGAGAATGAGATGACATATCTACTGTGAGAATAACATAAATGATATAGTTTATTTGAAAATTTTTATGCTCTGGTATTTTATATATTAAATATATATATGTACACACATGCATGCACATGTCACATATCTCTAATGTGGAGTTAATATGAATTTTTTTTTAAATGTAATTGCAACCACAATCATATTTTAAAGAACATTCACTACCAGTAAGGGTTTACAGAAGCCACTGAAAGAAAAAAGTAGACAGATGAAAAAAGGAAAAGTCATTAATTGAGGTTATTTTTGTTTTATTTTTAAATTTGTAGTGTTACTTTTGAAAGAATTGTTTTTTATTACTATCCTCTCTTTTTGTGATTGAAAAGTCATTTAATAGTGAACAGTGTAGAAGCTACTTTTTAATTGCTGGCAAACAGCTTTAAGTGCACTTTCTTTGATTACACTTCCATTTTTTGTGTTAAACTTGAATTTTCTGAAACCTTTTATATACCACTAAGCAAGTAACTTTAACTTTTAAATAAACCTGATTTACATCTTTATTATATTTCTACTTGTTACAAAACAATCTTTAAATGTAGCTGGGAAACTTTTATGAGATAGAATGAGTTGCTTTGTTTTTCTATTTAATTAAGCACTAACTGTTTTTCTACTTTATTGCCTTTACATTTGCTTATTCTTTTTGACAGAATCCTTCCCCCTGTTCATTTTGTTTTGTTTAAAATTTATTTTATTACTATATTTATCATACCTACTGTTTTAATAATCTGCTTTCTTTAAATGCAATAAATCCCACATGGATTGCATATTCTTTATAATCAGTGACTTCAGAGTTTTTCATTATTTGTCTTATTAAAAGTTCTTTCTTTCACAGACATTAAGTGCCTATTATGTAGCAACTAGTAGCAACTAGTGGAATACAGAAATTAGTAAGATTAGATCCCTGTTCCTAAGGAGTTCATAGTTTAGAATTTAAGTAAGAAATACCATTTTGGCCTTTTTTTTGCAACAAAACTATGAAAATAGCACAGTGTGTTTAGTCACTGCAGTTATTACTGATACTTAAAATGGTGAGGCAGAAGCATACAACTTTGAAGTGGCTTTTGAAAACATTGTTTGGCACAGTTTTGCATTATGTAAGAAGCCCTGGTGGTACAATTGTTAAGTGCTTGGCTAACCAAAATGTTGGACATTTGAACCTACCAGCCACTCACTCCATGGGAGAGAGATGTCATAGATTCCTTCTATAAAGATCACAGCCTTGAAAATCTTATGGGCATTCTCCTCTGTCCTGTAGATATGGCTGCTCTGAGTTAGAATCAACTTGCCAGCAATGGGTGGTGGTTTTTTGTTTTGGTTTGCATTATATATAATTCATTTTCAAACTCTCAAAATTGATAACATGTAACTTAAATAGTTCTTGATCGTATCAGAAACAGCTGACATATTAAAGAAAACCTATTTATTGGATTGACACAAACTAAATTTTTAGATTAGTGGCTTGTGGAGAGATCCAACTTACTTATTAAAAATGAACATATTTTTTGAAATAGTAACAGCTATCTATAGTTACATGGAAAAATAAGGGCTTTGTATATTCTTAATGATTGGTACAGAGCAGCAAAATTATCACAAATGATTAAAATTGCTTATTTCTAATCTAACTGCAAATTTCAGAAATTTATTTAAAAGTACAGAGTGCATCATTGGTACAAAACCAATCAATTTCTTTAAAGACAAATATATGCTGCTATTTGATCTATTTATTTTGAATAGCTAATCCTTTTAAGGAAGTCCACCTCAAGCATCATATATAACACATAGTTAAGTATATTTTTATATTGAAGGAATG